CACTGAACTTGTTGCAAAGATGGCTTGTTTCAGCTTGCTCAGGGTGGTACTTCTGCACAAACATTTGGACATCATTCCACTTGGCACAAATCTCCTTAATCTTTGAAGAAGGCACCTCATCCACTCCCTATATTAACACCTTTTGCAACATCAGCTTCCTTGATTTGTTCTTTCTTTGACAGGATAGAACCTATGGTCGACTTGTTTTTCCCATGCATCCTGGCAAGCTCAACAAGTCTCACACCACTCTCATACTTCTGTATTATTTCCTTCTTCACATCTATGGTGTTTCTCACTTTCTTTATCACAGGGGTACCACTAGCAAGTTTCTTTGGGCCCATGGCAGCTTATTTCACAGTCTCACAAGCACTATTTCACAGTCACACAAGCACTAAACACAACGAAATAATCGTAAAATGCATGAATGAGAGCGCAGGTTAGTGTTCACTCAAGCATAAACAAAGCTAGACTGCTCACGGCGCCTGCGCAGGGACATGGACAGAGCGGGCAGGAGACAGGTAACGTACCCGGCAGTCTGAAAATAGGGGCGCATTCGATAATAGGGACACAGTTTCCACAGGTTCCACTGTATTAGGTACTGAAATTGTACTCAAATTGTCACAAACACACTAACAGGTGGACATTTACACCTGACCTGCCTTGGCCATTATTATTGTCTTGGAATATATACAAAGTATTTATAGGTCCCAGCAATGTTTTAGATATGTGGAAGTATATAATAATAATGAGGAGAAGGAGGAGGAAGAGAAGGAGGAGGAGGAAGAGAAGGAGGAGGAAGAGGAGAAGGAGGAGGAAGAAGAGAAGAAGGAGGAGGAGGAGAAAGAGGAGGAAGAGGAGAAGGAGGAGGCAGAGGAGGAGGAGGAGGAGGAGGAGAAGGAGGAAGAGAAGGAGGAGAAGTGAGGAGGAAGAGAAGGAGGAGGAGAAATAGGAGGAGGAGGAGAAGGAGGAAGAGGAGGAGGAAAGGATGAGGAGGAAGAGAAGGACAAGGAGAAGGAGGAGGAGGACAAGGAGGAGGAGGAGAAGGAGGAGAGGAGGGAAGGAGGAGGAGGAAGGAGGAGGAAGAGAAGAGGAGAAGGAGGAGGAGGAGAAGGAGGAGGAAGGAGAAGAGGAGGAGGAGGAGGAGAAGGAGAAGTAGGAGGAGAAGGAGAAGGAGGAGGAGGAGGAGAAGGAGAAGGAGAAGAGGAGAAGAGGAGGAGGAGGAGAAGGAGGAGAAGGAGAAGGAGGAGGAGGACGAGGACGAGAAGGAGGAGGAGGAGAGGGAAGGAGAAGGAGGAGGAGAAGGAGAAGGAGGAGGAGAAGGAGAAGAGAGAGGCAATAAAGGAAGGAGGAGAGAAAAAGTAGGAGGACAAGGAGAAGATAAGGTAATAAAATAATAGGCAATAATAAGTTGCCTTTAAGCATGAAAAAACATCCCCCCTGACAGGACATGATAAGATTGTGTAACATTTGATAAGAGCTGACTATTGATGACATTCGCTAGGATCAGTGATAAGAAAAGATTGAGGTGATCATTTTGATGACCAGCGCGCCTGCGATTTGTTTCACTGGTAACACAACATTTCTGTCATGTCTATTTGTCTGTCTGTAAAGCTCCCTGTCTATCTATCCATATAGCGCTCTGTCTCAGAGAGAGGCACAAGACTGGGTCATCACCTTTACTCATATCTTCAAGCAGAGTACAGCACTTTGTCTGGATTTTTTGGGTTATCCTAGGTAATTTACACTATGTATACTTGTATTTATGTGTACCTGTGAGACAGAGATAGAGACAGATAGACAGAGATAGAGACAGACAGAAAGAGATAGATAGAGAAACAGAGATAGACAGACCCTAAACTTGGGGTTAATATCACTTTCCTCTTAAAAGGGAAGTGCTAATATGACATTACATCAGTGAATCCTTGGTGTTTGGTGCACTGTTTGGTCCATCTGGCACTCACTTTAACTGGCACTCCCACAAGGTACTAAGTGGTCCCAGATTTTTTTAATATGGTGCACACTGAGTCTTAAGACCCATTCTATGCTGACCAGGCATCTCAGGGCAATCGTGCCAAATTTGGAGGCAGGAAAATTAAAACGTATATATACATTTGGGGTGCTCCGCGTAAGAACGTATATATACGTTTGGACCGTTTAGGGGTTATTTGTGATGAAACCGGCCTCTTTTGGAAGAAAAGGCCAAAGAGGACCTACATCATGCAGGAGGAAGAGACACTGCCAAGACACAAGCCTATGAAGGATAGGCTTACTCTTTTGTTCTGTGGTAACGCTAGTGAGGATTTCAAAGTGAAGCCTTTACTGGTGTATCACTGAAAATCCCAGTGTTCAAGAAAAACAATGTTGTCAAGAGTAAATTGTGTGTGTTGCGGGAAGCTAATAATAAGGCAAATTTTCATTGACTGGATCCATGAAGTGTTTGGCCTGAGTGTGAAAAAATACCTCCAGGAAGATAAATTGCCACTCAAGTGCTTCCTGGTAATGGACAGTACTCCTGCTCATCCTCCAAACTCAGTAGACCACTTGTCTATGGAGTTAAGTTTTATAACAGTGAAGTTCTTGCCTCCTAACACCACTCCTCTCATCCAGCCCATGGACCAGCAGGTCATTTCTAACTTCAAAAAACTCTACATGAAAGCAATGTTTCAAAGGTGCTTTGAAGTGACCTTGGACACTGACTTGACCCTAAGAGAGTTCTAGAGGAATCACTTCAATATCCTCCATTGTATAAGCCTTATAGGTAAGGCTTGGCAGGGAGTGACTTCCAGCACTTTGAACTCTGCTTGGAGAAAATTGTGGCCAGAATGTGTCCAAGAGAAGGATTTTGAAGGGTTTGAGGCTGACCATGACCCTGTCGACCCTCTGCCTGTTGTGGAATGTACTGTGGCTTTGGGAAAGTCCATGGGGTTGGAGGTGAGTGGCGAGGATGTGGAAGAGTTGGTGGAGGACCACAGGGAAGAGCTAACCACTGAAGAGCTGCAAGACCTTCATCTGCAACAGCAACAGACCACATCTGAGGAAATTGCTTGAGAGTAGGAGGAAGAGAGAGGGAAGAATGTGCCTTCTTCAGTGATTAACCTTTGACTGTCGCAGGTCCCTTTTTGAAACTGTCATTCTATGTCGCAAAATTTTTGAAAAAAAAAATTATTTTTTCTTATGAAATTATAGAGAATTTTTTCCTGATGGTAATGACACCAAAAGTTCGAAATTTGGTCAAAAACTCACGGAATTACACTCCCACGAAGTTAGCGGTCTCGGCGACATATACATATCGGCGATTTTGCCGACTTTGAGCCCTGTTTTTAGCCAATTCCGTTGTTCCAGTTGACCAAACTTATAGCTATTTCTTTAGAACTCCATTTTATCTATCAGTTGAGTACAAGAAACTGCCCATTTATTAATTTGAACTACCCAATAAAGTTGTCAGAAATTGGAAATTTGGCCAATTTCACGCAAATAAAAAAAGATGCCATTTTCAAAATAGGGTCCAGAATAAACAAGGTAGACATTCTTGGCACTAAAATAACATATCCTCTGTTCATTAGTCACATCTCTAGGCCCCTCTTATGTTACTATTGCTTTCTATTTTATTTTTTATTCATACAAAAAAATACAAAATTTACTGGTATGCAGACTACTGCATTATTTTAAAAATGGTATAAATAATATCAGTGCACTAGTGAAAGAATATTAGACTCTCCAGTTGACGTGTATTGGACGTGTGGTGTGATTTGCTTACTCCTGAACATTGATAAAAATCGGACATTTCCGCTACTTTGAGCTCAGTTTCAAGGTCGTTTTCATCGTGAAAGTAATGAAAATCATCTCTATTTCTGTAATATGTTTTCCATTTTATCACCTAAGACCATGAAAATGAGAATACAACGATAAATACTATACGAAAATACACTTCAAAGTCGGCGTTTTAATCCAAAAAAACGGTCAGTTTTTTTTTCTCATTACGCACTGCATGCCGCAGGATTTTTTTGTGGTGCACACTGACCACACAGACCCATTCTCTCACATGTGGGCCTACCAGGTTTCTCCTGCTTGATTTGAAGCCGCTAGAATTTATGAGTATATATACGTCAGAAACAGTGGCGCATAAGACGTATTTATATGGCGTAAACAGTCAAAAGGTTAAGGACATTTGTGCAAAGTGGAGGGAGGTGCAAAGTTTTGTGGAGAAATGTCACCCTGACCAAGCTGAAACAAGCCATATCTGCAACATGTTCAGTGACAAAACCTTGTCCCATGTCAGGCAAATCTTAAAGAGATGCCAGAAACAAACCTCTCTGGACAGTTTTTTTGTGTGACAGGGGTGCAGTAACTCTCAAGCTGGTCCTAGTGCCAGCAAAAAACAAAGAAGGGAAGTAACCTCAGAGAGAGACTTAATACCTGCAGTCCTTGAGGAGGAGGATTTCCCTTCCAAACATTAAGCTCTCCTCTCTCTCCCCCCTCCTCGCCTTCTTCAATACTCCAACAAGAGTCTTCAGTGAAGGTATGTAATATTCATTTATTAGTAAAATTATTGCTTTATATTTCTTTCTCATTGTTTTGTGTTTGTAAAATTATAGTTAATCCTTTATTTTTGGGTGTCTGGAATGGATTAATTTAACATGTATTTACATTAATTCTTATGGGAAATATTACTTCGGTTTTCAGCCTTTTTGGATTTAGGCTGACCTTCTGGAACGGATTACGGCCAAAATCCAGGGTTCCACTGTATATTGAAATAAACAGAATAGAGGAAATCAGCTATAATATACATTATTTAGGTATGAATACTGGTCAGAGAGCCATCATAAGTCCAAGGCGTCAGTAAACAAGTACATAGCTAAGTGAGGACCAGCTGTACTGGATTGAATTTATATTGCTGTATCTCTGTAAGTCTGTTATATTTATGAAAATGTTTTAAAGTAAATTTTCATTCTCTAAATATCTTTGTTTTTCATGCTGTTTAACAAAAACAATTTCTTCAGGGAACAGGAAATGTACACGTTGCAGCCGCATGTTTTCCAGTATTACTACACTGGAGCGGCACATGAAGACATGCCCCTCTGTAGAAATAAGCAAATATTTTAAGGTAATGAATTTCTATACAGAATTAATTACAGGTCACCGACTTACGAAAAAACAAGTTGTATGACTCAAGAAATCGTAATGACACGATTGCAAATAAACCATACCCCCGGCCGGGATTGAACCCGCGGTCATAGAGTCTCAAAACTCCAGCCCGTCGCATTAGCCACTAGACCAGCTAGCCACAATAAGATTCATCCAACTAGGTATATTTCTACACCATAGAGTTCGTCACGGCCACGCTAGCTGGAGATTCGTCTGTAAAAACTTGCATTTGTGGTCACAGAGGTGCCTGTGCGAACTCTATGGTGTAGAAATATACCTAGTTGGATGAATCTTATTGTGGCTAGCTGGTCTAGTGGCTAACGCGACGGGCTGGAGTTTTGAGACTCTATGACCGCGGGTTCAATCCCGGCCGGGGGTATGGTTTACAAGTTGTATGTATAGAAAAGAATAGTATGAAGAGTGTTTGTACTTTATACATTTGTAAGTGCAATTTGAATATAACTCTGGGGATTTGTAAGTCGGTGTCCTGTTGTGTTCATATCTTTATACTGTTGTGTATGGTTCATCATGTCTTTTCTAGGCTTTACCTTCTTTATTTCCTCATGAGAGTTTTTCTTGACTGATGTAGTCATGTGTAAAATCTTTGCTGTTTAATAATGAGGATGGTCATCAAGCATATAAATACGTACTTGACAAAAGAGATGTACAGTGGGGCCTCACTTATACGGCAGGTTAGGTTCCAGGCTACCGCCATAAAGCGGAAATCGCTGTATTGTGGAACACCCTTTTTTTCCACTTATAAATTCATAAAAAAATCCAAAATAACAAGTTTACACTAACATATATTAAGCTAGCAATAGAACTAGGCATTAAAAAACAATAAAAAAATAAAATACAGTATAGTACAGGTCGGCCATCACAAGTCTGGCATCATTGGGACCTGTAGTGTGTCAAATTATTGAATTTGCTGGATTGCAGAGTGGTTAGGTTAGAATACACTTAATAAAGTTACCCAACTTGACTTACACAAGAAAGTTCATTGAACATCAGCAAAAATCGAACATTTCTGCTATTTTGAGCTCAATTTCAAGGTACTTTTCATCATGAAACCAATCAAAATCATACCTGTTTCTGTAATATATTTTCCATACTATCAAAGGAGACCAAGAAAATGAGAATAAATCCATAAAAACCATACGAAAATATACCGCTAAGGGGATGCTAATGACTGAAGTAAACTCCATTATTTATCGTCTGATGTCTTTCATTTTTGTGTACGTTAAGAAACATCATTCCATCATACATTGCTCAAGTTTCACAAATATAGCCCAACTAACAAATGAGAAAAAAAAATCCAAAAATCATATATGGCAACTCCAAGCCAGGTACTAGAAATAAGTCACTTTGTCTGACTTTTTTGGGTTATCCTAGGTTCTCTACACATTTACTGCTATATATGATAATATGATAATCTATGTAGAGAAAATAGCTTTTTTGTTTCAGTTTTATGGTGCATTACGAGTGTATATCACGGTTAGCCCTGTGCTACTCTCCAACAACGCTAAGCGGCAGTGGCAGCAACAGCAGCGACCTCCAAGCTCCGTACTTTTCTCCAACTATCAGAGCCACCAATGCTCCTATGATGACCTAGTTGCAAGCAAAGCTGCACTACCCAATGTAGCACCTGGAATGACCAAAGATTACCAACAGTGAAACCTGCAAATCGAAAATAATAGAGATCAAAGGAAGACTGCCCTCAAACCCAAAGCAACACCCCGCTGCCAGCCGAACAACGTAACCCTAAGCTTTGTATAACTACAACTTCTTAACTACAACAATTCCTGTAGTATTATGAGGCGCAATCTCAGAGGAAACAGCACCAAGGCCAGCAAGAAAACATCGAAAAATCAACTATTCAACAAGTGTAGCCAGGAGGACGCCAGCCCAGCTACCACCCCTCTCACCACCGCTCAAGGCGACACCACAACAATAACAACAAACATGGTTGCCCTCAGCCCATCCACCCCTCTCTTTCCCGGATTCAACCTACCAAGTAGTCTCTCAGGTATGACCAACGATCCAGATACCCTAAAGTCATGCATCTCCACCTTAGTTATTGAAAATATGAATCTTCGAGAGACACTAACAAAACAAGACACCAGGATGACACAACTCGAGAACAAAATCCTCAGTCTTGAACAAAAGTTATCAACACCAGGAATGACTAACTGTGGCAAGACCATCCAAACAGTCATAGATAGCCATGCAGAACAAATAATATCTCTTAATACAAAGGTTGAAGAAGCAGTAAAAGAATGGAAGAATAACTTAGATAACCAGTTCAGTGACTACTTTGCTCTACAAGAAGATAAAACTAAACAAGATAAACTATCGGACGCAGTAATAGTTAGCAGTCCACTTTTTCCCAGTGATATGAACCAAACAAACAGTAAAGAAATTACTATCCAGATCATAAAGGACCAAACAAAAGTTACAGTACCAGAGTCAGAAATAAAGGAAGCCAGGTTACTAGGATCCCATGGTAGAAAAAGTGTTATGCTTAGATTCCACTCACATGACAGGAAAAAAGACTTAATTATTGCATCTATTAAAGTAAAGAAAGAGGTATACATAAATGAGTGTCTTACCAAAAAACGTCAGAACCTCCTGTATAGAGTCAGAAAACTTAAGCGGGAGAATAATGACACAATACACCAATGCTTCACATGGGATGGGAAAATTCTAGTTAGGAAAACAAATGTAGGTCAACTGTACGCAATCACGAATGAGAATGATCTATCACGATTTCTCAGGGATACTAATCTTAAAGAGAATAACTAAACAATGTCCAACCTAAAAGCCTACGTAGTGTCGTGTATGTTTTGCTCCATTATTGTTCAAATTTCATAGTACAATCTCTTAGTAATTAAATAATCAACTACCTCATTTTGTGATTTTACTAGTAAGCATAAGTCACCTTATGTAATTTTCTTATTTACTATTGTTTGCTTAAATATTAGCTGAATTGATACTTTCTCTGTCCATATTACTACCTCATATTTTTTAAATACTATTAATTGATATTACTTACTAAAATTAATAATTAATTACCATTTTTACTATCAGTACAATTTACTCTTAACATTTTTGACATCATTTAATTACCATTACTTGTCTAATAACAATAACCTGTTTTAATACCAGATTTACTATCTTAGAGTACTCTTAAATACCTTGTTCTGCCAAATAACCTCTAGTATAACTACCAGTGCAATATTGAATCCAAATAACTGTTCTTAAAATTTAATACAGGTCTCCCTCAACATTCGCGAGGGTTAGGGGATCAAGAGCCTCGCGAATGTTGAAAAACCGTGAATGTTTGGTGCCCCAATATATTGCAAGGAAATATAATACAATACTGCTTCCTTAACTTGTTGAACCATAAACAGTCATAAAATACATGAAAATGTCGTAAATTGTACTAAATATATACATGTTATGCTTTAATAACATGTATGTCATTAAATACCAGACTCCACCAATGCCTCCACCACTTCCTCAACCACTGAGAGTCCCTACTACCCTCCCTCCGACCCCCACAACTGGCAGCCAGCCCTCCCACCACTCGGTGTGAGTGTTTTGTTTGTTCATTATTTGCTATTAAACTACAGTATAAATAATGTAAACCCATTCATGACTACATATTGGAATGGCTATTCAGACAGGTATTGGACGGTGACATCATGTGTTTACTCTTGAACACAGCAAAGAATCAAACATTTCTGCTACTGCTAATAATAACAATAGTAGTAATAATAATAATAATACGATATAATTGAAGAAGGAAATTGTACAAAAATATGAGGGAGTAGTTGACACATCGTCAGTGTGGCTTTGTTTATGCTTGAGTGAACATTAGTCTCCCTGCTCTTCCAAACATTTCACAATAATTCAGCAGTTGAGGCAGTGGTATTTAATAACATATATGTTATAAATAATAATAGTACATATTATTAATAACATGTATTATTATTATTAATAACATGTATGTTATTAAATACCACTGCCTCATTCGCTGCCTCAACAGCTGCCTCAATCGCTGCCTCAATCGCTGCCTCAACAGCTGCCTCAACAGCTGCCTCACCTACTGCCTCAATCGCTGCCTCAACAGCTGCCTCAACAGCTGCCTCACCCACTGCCTCAATTGCTGCCTCAATTGCTGCCTCAACAGCTGCCTCAAGAGCTGCCTCAACAGCTGCCTCAACAGCTGCCTCAACAGCTGCCTCACCCACTGCCTCAATTGCTGCCTCAATCGCTGCCTCAACCACTGCCTCAATCGCTGCCTCAACCACTGCTTCAACCACTCCAGTCGCACTCAATCTACAAGCACCAAACACAATGAATTATTGTGAAATGTTTGGAGGAGCACGGAGACTAATGTTCACTCCAGCATAAACAAAGCCACACTGAAGATGTGTCAACCACTCCCTCGTATTTTTGTACAACTTCTTCAATTATATCGTATTTATTATTATTATTATTATTATTACTATTGTTATTATTAGCAGTAGCAGAAATGTTTGATTCTTTGCTGTGTTCAAGAGTAAACACATGATGTCACTGTCCAATACCTGTCTGAATAGCCATTCCAATATGCAGTCATGAATGGGTTTACATTATTTATACTGTAGTTTAATAGCAAATAATGAACAAACAAAACGCTCACCACACCGAGTGGTGGGAGGGCTGGCTGCCAGTTGCGGGGGTCGGAGGGAGGGTAGTAGGGACTCGCAGGTGGCGGGAAACTTGAATATGATTTGGCGGCTGGGAATTTGGTGGCTGTGAATTTGGCGGTTGGGAATTCGTGAATGTGTGAAGCCCGCGAAAGCTGAAAACGTGAATGTTGAGGGAGACCTGTACTTGAAATAAACATTACTTTTTCACTTTTTTTTTTTTTTTTTGCTAATTAATCTTTTTTTTTGTAATCATTATTACTTACTAAAATTTTATTAAACACCATATTTACTACCAGTCAATTTTACATTAATCATTATTTTATAC